CAATATTGCACCTCTATCAGTACTTGACTAAAGATCCTTTCTCAAAATGCATGTCTACCATACTTTTTTAAAGAGGAAAAGAGAGGATAACGCAACAGCCTGGGATTGATTTGTGGGAGGAAGATACTCGGAATAGATAAGTTAATGCTTTTTTTTTCTTCACCTAATCAGCTGGTATTTAGTGGCTGTTAACACTTGTTTGACCTATTTTTAAATACTAATATACAATATTATCACTACTTTATATCACTTATTTTTATTCTAAAGATACTTGGCGAATCAGAGTGCACCAGATTATCCGGTGAGTTGTCATTGTTTCCTTTCATGAGATTGTTCATTGTAATTCCCATATGATCAAAAAAATATCTACTCTTGGTAAACCCTATTCTGTGTGCTGTGCGGTGTAGCGGTAACGATCTTGTCTAGCAATCTTGCTGACCCGCGTTCAAATCCCGCACCGCCAGTGGATGATAACCTCGGCCATTCCTTGCACACAGGGGATAATTTAGAAGCAAAATGAAACAGTATGTCACACCAAGAATATCCTTTGTAACAAATGGAATCAAACTAAATTATCATTCTAAATAAATGGCCTTCAGACATAGACAACCAAGCTATAAATTTCAGAGCGAGAAAGAGAGAGAGATGGGGTAAGGGAGAGAGGGAGGGAGGGAAGAGTGAGAGATGGAGGTTGGGGAGAGAGAGAGGAGGTAGAAAGAGAAGAGAAGAATAAATGAAGAAAGAGGGAGAAGGAGAGATAAGAACTTACTACGAGATGTTGAATTAGACTTATATGAATCCAATCCCATCTGCATCCACCAGATGTAACACAACACGATCAGTAATAAGAACATAATAATAAAAAAAATTGCCATCGACTACACGAGAGACAAAACAAAAATAAAAAGGACTACAAATGACTCAAACCCATGAGCTTAACCACGACAACCTTGCATTACCTTGACGCCCCTTTCGTCGTCGGAGAAGAGCCAATTGTCCAGTTCTTACCGACGTCGTCCGTCCTTCTCCGCGGCTCTCTTAAGACAGGGGGGGAGCAGAGAGGCAGAGCTCGCCATCTGAGACTTCCTGTGAATTGATAACTTCAATTGGTGCTTGGAAGAAGGCAATGATTAGCGATAAGGGGCTTCTTGGAAAAAACTTTCAGCTGGACATGTACCCCTAGCGACACAAATATGAATATTTACATGTGCCTGTGCAGGCATTCACGAGAAACTAAAGTAATTTTATTTTATTTTATGTATTTCTTTATTACGCAGATAAGTTATATTCCGTGTTTTTTGACACGCTGTGACTGTGGCGTCTTCTAACATCAGTCATTATGCGGTTGCGTTGTCATCGGCTGGTATTGCTACGTCAAGGGTACTCAACTATCGCTTCTACTATGATAAGAAGTGGGGATATTTTTTGTGCCTGTATTCTGAATTTATATTAGCGTATTATGTGTACGTATACTCCCACATACATACAAACAAATACGTATACTGACGCGAAATCACACACGCAAACACACACCTACAGACGCGCATACACTCACACATACATAAAAATTATTTTCTTTGGAGTTATTTATATATATATACAAACACACACACACACACATACACATATAATTGGTATTAGAAGATCAAAACCTCTATTATCCTCAGAAGAAAATAGATGAAATAAAACAAGAAATAATTGTAACTTCTTATATATATTTTTTATATATGTATAACTTTTTATTCCTTTTGTCTTTTGTTCCATTGGTAAATCACTGGAAGATGAATAAGTAGTAAAACAGATAAAAAAAATACAACGAACAAAACGATAATAACGATCGTGTTTAAAGTAGCATATAGTGGTAAGCGTACAGGTACTAGTAATGGTAGTATTAGTAATGAGGATAACAATAGTAATCATAATAACAGTGATAATAAAGATAATAATGATAATAACAGTAGCACTGAAAATGTTCAATATTGTTATGATAACAATAGTAAGACCAATACCAATATTGATAATTATTACCATTACCAATGTTTTTATCATTATTACATAATTTGCACCCTTACAAATGCAACTAAATCATATATTCAAAAACATACCAAAAAATAGTGAAAGAAAATGCACTTGCACTGACAGACAGAAAAGAGAAAAGAGAGAGCGGAGAGAAGAGAGAAAAGGGAGGGAAGAGAGAGAGAGAGGAGAGAAGAGAGAGATAGAAGAGAAGAGAGGAGAGAGGAAAGACCTTCAATCAGATTGACAAACTTAAATCATTTCCTATCCAATCATTAAACATTCTGTTTTCATATTTTACAGAAACTCCACAATTAAGATGCTTGGACGAGGCCTTTTTTCCAGTCTTATGTCTTGTGTATAAGGCTTAATAACCTGTGTTTTTCTTCCTTTTCTTGGATTGGGAACTTGATAACTTCAAAGGTTCAGCAAGGCTTTGATCATCCCAGGCTTCCAGGGCGTACTTGAGTCCTTCCTGATTGGCTCACTGAGGCGCCCGAGAGGCTTCCGGGTACATAGCGGAATAAGCAGGAGGAGCATCATCTGCGGGATGCTCCGTGCCTGCAGACGGGGTGGCGGCGGCTCCTGAATCTGGACCGCGCCTGGTTTGGGACGCAGCAGGGTCTTCTACAGGAACAGGAATATGCTGGCGGATGAGGACGACTCGTGACCTTTCCTTGCATTTATATGTGTGTGCGTGGGGCTTTATGCATGTGACAATATACAAGATTACATTGCAAGTTATGTAGAATATAACAAATTCTAGAATTACAGTAGCATACATACCTCAGTAACATTGTACAGATAAG